CACTTCAGGGTAAACCCAGATTGTTCTTTTATATCAGGTTAATGGAATTACATCACTGAGACTGACTGAATCAAAGCATGGGAGAAGAAAGGACTGTTCTTGCACTACTCTTTCTCCTGGCACCTAACAAGATTATGGCAAGGACCACTTGACACACGGGTTGTTTAGGGGGAACTGAATTCAGATCCTTCTATGTAAAACCTTCAATCCCTTGCCAAGCACTCATGTTTTTTCTTACCTGCTTGTGCTGAGCTGAGCAGCAAGAGGACAGCAAGAACAATGAGCAGCTTTCTCTTCAGATCCTCAACCATCTTCCTGTTAGTCTGCTACAAGTACAATATTGTACAGGGGAAAAGAGCCGTGGTGGGTTGTTCGATCAGCTTGACTGTTAATGATCAACCAGCCTGTGCTATTTTGGGAAAAAATGGTAGGAGCAATTACCTCTGCTCTTATTTAACCATTAGCCAAAGTCTGTGTCATCAGAGGGCTTCACTGACTTTTTGGTTTAAAAAGATACTGACACTCCTTTCCTCCCTACCTCCCTTTCCTCAAGGCAAACTTCTCACATCAGAAATCAGTTAGTGAAACCAGTTCCAGCAAGTGACAGAGTTACAGTGCTTTATCCTTGCCACCTAGACCTGTCTGCCAAATTCTGACTAGGGACACTGATTTGTCACTGGGCTTCACAGTAAGTCTGTGCCGGGAAAATTGATAACAGCCTTGCATCTGTGTATTTTCCTATTGCATCGCTGTCTCTTTCCTGTATTTTTACTTCTGGTCAGATCCCCGTAGCTGCCAAAAGAAGGCAAAGCAATGGATTACTTCTGAAAAGTGAGGGGAAAGACAGGCTAAAACGTAACTGGTAGCCATATCACCATAATACACTAAGACTGTGTATTTCTTAGGGTGGGGATACTCTTCACTCTTCCTCTGGAGACTGAATCTCAAATACTACAGGAAATAAAAAGATGATCTCAGTAATGCGCCAGTATCATAAGCGTGCAAATACTTCAAACAGATCTTTAAATAAAAAAACTTTACTGCTTTGGTATAAACGGGTGGAGAAACATAAGAGCACAACTAAACATGTAACCAGGAGTCTGTCACATGATATTCATGAGATGGTGGTACCATCTCCCCGGCTGAGTTAGACTTTGAGGTAAGGGCACACCTGTTTCCTAAGCCTCATTGATGCATGTTGGTCCTTCTTGCAGAGGAACAAGTCAGCTTTGCCCTTGACTGTGTTAAGTGGCAAGAAGGGTAACGAGCAAAGGAGCATGCCTGTCCAGGCACTATTCTACAGGTGCTTTATTTATTTTCTTCTTCACAAAATTAAGGAATTGCTTCAGTCTGATCAGAAAGGTGATCAAAGACCTTTCCAAAAGCATCAGACATTATTTTTCTTTACAGTTATTGGCAACAGCGGTCATCTCCTTACCTCAGTTTTCTCCAGCCAAAGGCTTTGGGGCTGGTTTAGGCAGATCTTTTTTATTTCCAAGTCACTCCTGAGAGAAATTTCTCCCATCCTCACAGGAAAGTTAGGTAGCATCAGCTGCCTGTCCTGGAGGGCAACTGAAGCCCTGCCCCATCTGCATCCTCCCAGACACATATACAGATACATTCTGATCCTGAAATACTTGGCCCCACAGTCAAGCTGGCTTATTGTCAGAGAAGTAGGATCTTAGTGTATCTTCAAATATGCAATTAAGTTTGTCAACCCAATCAATTTTCCAAGATCGAAAGCTGCAATATGAAGAGCCAACTCCTGGCTTCCAGCCCACTCTTCATTTTTATAACCCCAGCACTAGACTCACATTGATTCACAGACTGTAAGACAAAAGCCTGTAGACTGCAACGGGCCCACTCCATTATACCCACAAATTCTATTGATCTGGATAATCTCTCAATCAAGAAAGGAAGAAATAAACTTGTGAAAACATACCAATAGGCAGTGGCATTTCCATACAATCCTCCAGAACAACAGTGTGATTCTGAAAATGACAAATTTTTAAGAGTAAAACAAATTGAAGAACCTAAAGAAAACCAGCAAACACTTCTTTCCATTTTTTATATAAAATTACGGTAATAAGCACTACCCTTTGTGGCAGGATGCAACTGTTACTCTTTGCCAACTTCTATGGGAATTTTGCAGTGCCATGTAATATAAGGCAGGCACTGGTATTACTGCCTTAGATTAAAAGAAACCTGTGGCCAGGATGTGCAGATCTGATTTAGTTTTGCACTGCTATGTGTATTTGCAGAGTTGCTAAACAACATCCTGGTATGCTAAAAAAACCCCCAAAGTCCTAATGAAATTGAAAATTCTGTTTTTTGAGCAGCTTTTCTTTTCCTGTAACCTCAGATTTAGTAATTCCATTAAATTTTTTATTATATCAGCACACTGTGGTGGTCCCTCATGCAAACAGCGAAAGTCACTCAGTTCCTCTGTGCTTAAAATGCTCTTACTGGTAAAACTATTTTGGTATGAAAAGTTTTCTTACTTTCGTTTGTGAACTTAATTACTCAGTAACTACAGCTATATTAGTTCAGAAACTTAATGTTGGTGCCACTTACTCTAGTTTCCAATAGGAGTGATCATACTGGCAACTGGAACACTGTTGCAAAGGCTTTCAAACCACATTAGGTTTCTTTTAAAAGTGTGATTCACCTGAGAATGAGCCAAGGATAATGAAAGCAAACAAACTTGATTTTATGTGAAAATTCTTTCATTAAAAAAAAAACCTGAAAAAATTGCACTGTCTGCACATGCAAGAAAAGGTTGAAAGTCCCAAAATCTGCTGAAGATGCCATCTCCCCCCACAAAGCAACAGCTGGCAGAGACATATAAGCACTGCAAATGCGCAGTAGTCAAGTGGAACTCTGATCACATGAAAATTCACTGGGACTGGAAAGCTGTTCATTGAAACTGGAAACAACGCAGTCAGGGTAGCAGTGTGGGACGTTGGGGGAAACTACGTGTGACTTAAGCAAATGATGACTATTTAAAATCACTCCCTGTGGTCTCTGCATTCGAGGAAGGGCATGAAATGTAGGCAGAGATGAGCTCACAGTACAATAAGGCTTGGATCCACCCTACTGCTGGAATACTTGGTATCACAGCTCCTGTATTTTCTCTCCTTTGCCCATGGAGTAGAAACTATGGCTTTATGTTAAGCACCTAGGCTCCTGTGTTGTTCTCATGAATGACAGAGGAACCAGGTTTAGTTCTCACCTCAGCAAAAATGATTCGAACTCCTGATTTTCACTAGAGCGTCCTAACTATGAGATAGTAGGAAGAAAATATTAAAGACTGACTTGGCAACTGAGGAAGGGAAAATGTGGGCAAGTCTGATTGGGTACTCAGTCAGGAAAGGAGACAAACCAGTCATTTTCTTGAGTCTTTCATGTGTACTTTATGGCTCTTCTACTTAGTATGACTGTATAAGTATGCACGAGAAGAGAGAAAGCATCCTTGCCACGTATCCCTGTAGTCTCCCAAAACCAGAGGAGCCTAGGGTTGATAAACCAGCCACCAGGCCCAAGTTCCTCTCTCACTTTCTCTACCCTGTGAAGCACTAATCAATCCTTTACAACGTGGAGCAGCTCAGTAGGAAGAACTTAGCCCTGCTTCGAGTGTGTGTAGGTGACCTCCTGTAGCTCCTTCCACTCTAAAATAATCTAAGTGAAAGTGTCAGTCTCTGCTTCAGCTTTCTTTCTGTTAGCTCCAAAGATCCCATAACCTACAGGAAAGCTGTTGTGTGCAAAGTGGGAGGTGGCGTTCTCCCAGCAGCAAGGTTCAACCTAAAGTCTCTGACATCTTGGGAGGACATTTTACCTGACAGGAGGACTAGTCAGCAGCAGAGAACAGATGTTCCTGCCAACAGGATATGGCACACATTACATTTCTTGTGTCAACACTGTGACTTGGAGACTTTACAGGGTGAGGAGCTCCCTTTGACTCTCCCAATCACAGAGATTGAGAATGGAGGGGGAAAGGGAACAGAGGGACAGTCTTCTTGTGGGTTTCTGTTACTGAGCAAAAGGAATTTATGGGATGGGCCTGACTCCATTTGGAAGCCATTTACGTTCCATGTCATTCCAACATAGCTATGGAGAATGGATCAGTATTATTCTGATTTTGGGAGAACTGAATGAGACAGAACTGCTCAGCCCAAAATACAGTATCTTTCTAGCTCATGCTGCAGTGATGGGGTAAAGGAGCTTGCAGTGAATCCTAGAGGAGGGAAAAACCACCACTCAGCATTGGAACATCTTCAGTGTTGATTTTGAAAGGTCCTCTGGCTAGAGATCTCCATGGCTGCCATTTTTTTTTTTTTTTTTCTAAACCGCTACAGGCACTGTTGTGTGAAGAGTGGAGCTGAGGTCGCTCCAAGTGGTGCTTAAGAGCCTGACACAGCTGCTCGGCAGCGAGTGGCGTGGGCCAAGCGCACTGGGAGGGAACCAGCCGAGGGATAAACCTGCGGTGAGAGCCTCCCTGTCCAGCACCAGTGCCGTGCGGGTGTTCCCTGGGACAGGCAGTCGAGCTCCCGGGAACTGAGCATGTTTTGAGGCTGCAAGGTCTGCTGGCAGCTGGATTCTCCTCAGCCAGGACAATGCACTGCGAGTGGGAGGCAGGTGAACAAGGATGAAGTATCCGCTCACAGCAACACGCTGCTGTGGGAGGAAAGCTGGCTCACGTCTGCCACTGCGGTATTTGGCAGAGTAGCAATTTTTCAATAGCTGCTGAGTGTTTATGTTTCCCAAACTATTGCGGTATTTTCCCTTTCTTCCTCAAAAATACTCTGTAGTGTCAAGAGGCCAGTGATCCACAAAAGGGAATGCAAGTTTGGTTTAGTTTTGTGAATGGGCTTCTGAGGAGGTGGTGTTGAAGGAAACCCCCAGAAGTCAGAGCTGGTTTCTGTTTTATTTTTTTTCCCTTCGCTCATTCAGAAGGGTCACCCCCACAGAGGCCAACCCAGCCTTGGGTGAAACGGGCGAGCATGGCTAAGCTGAGCCTTGAGCCCACCCCTCAGAGACATTGTCAGGTGTCCCCAAAGAGAACAGCGAGCATTTTGGGGAGCATCACTGTCAAACACCAGGCTCCAGGGAGTACTAGGTTTACAGGATCATCATTTTCTGAGGTGGCAAGCTGCGTGTTACCTGCTGAAAGTTGTTCTCCCCCTAACCTGTGGGGCTCTCGCTCCACATTAAATTGATTTAATTTTAGCTTTTCAGTCAGCAGAGCTGAAACTTCCCTACTGTAAGAGCAACACGACAATTTCTGCCGCCAGCGCTGGCTGGCGTTGAGCCCCGTGAACCAGAAACCCCCCTGCCGCAGCACCACCTCGAATCCCACCTCCTCTCTGCCAGCCGCAACCCACCAAGACACGCCGGAGGCGGCCGCGAAGTCTGAAATCCCCTTTCCTAAGGGAGGCCCGGAGTTTCCAGAGGAACCCTGCTCCCTCAGCACCCCAGAGAGGCCTCCGCCCCGCCGGGCGCCGCTGAGGAGGCCGCGGAGCCGGGCGGGGAGCGCGGGGCGGGCCGGCTGAGGGCGCGGCCAGCCGGGGGGAGGGCAGCGGCCGCCCTCATCTTTCGGTTTCTGTTCTCTCCGGGAGGGCAGAGATGAGGCCGGCGGTTGCGCTGGGGGGGTGGGGCTCCTCTTGTTTGTGTCCCTGCTGGGTAAGTCGTGAGTGGGCGGCGGGGACCCTTCCCCGAACCCACGATTCCCTTCCTTTCCCCTTCCCCCCCCCCCCAACCCGGCTCCCCTCACCGGTGTCGGGGCCGAGGGAGCGGCGCGCGGAGCGACCGTTAACGGCGGCGCTGCGGAGGGCACCCCCCCCCCCCCCCCCGGCGTCCCTCCTCAGGCGGGCGGGCTGGTGCCCCCTCGGGCTGCCGAGCGGCGGCTTCGCGGTCGCGTTCTGGGTTTGGCACCTGCGGTGGGTTCCGGCCGCGGGAAGCCGTCCCCTCCTGGCTGGCCCTGGCCGCGCGTTTTCTCCCCTGCGGAACGGCGGTAGGCAGCACCGAGCCGCTGCCTGCCCTTCCCCGCCGCCCCCGGATGTAACGCTGACATTTAATAACGGCCCGGATCTGTGCGTTTGGGGCCCCCCCTCCCCGTTCTTGGCACGGGCCACGCTCGTGTCGTTCGTCCGAGACTGGCGGGACCGGGAAGGTTACGGTGGGAAATGGGTGTGCTGTCTGTTGTACCCCGGTACGGGGAGTCGGTTTTCTGCCGAAGTGAAATGATTCTGGGCTGGGCAGGAAGCGACTCGGGGGGGGGGGGGGGGGGGGGGGGGGGAGCCTCACATTCCCGCAGCACCTGAGGTGCTAAGGAGTTTAAGAAACTAGCTTTTATTATAAAAGTATTTGTGTCATCCCTGTATGTGGAAGTGCTTTTTATTTTGTATTCTGTGTTACTTCTTGCTCAAGGAAAAATTGTCAGAGTTCCTCATGATTTTTTTTTTTTTTTAATAGTTGCAGCTTTTATTTTTTTTCAGAAGCAAATTATTACTATTCACTTTTGGTGAAATACTAAAGAAAGTCCTTCTTAGTCCAAATTCCACCCCTGTGTGCCTGAGGAACATAGCCCCCATGTCCATAGCCCTTGCACAGGGCTACAAACTTGAGAAATACCGACAGAACTCCCTCATTTTTTAAAATGAAATCAGATGTACAAACTTTAACATTGCCATCAGAGATAGCTTCTATTGCTAGAAGGGCCAAGCAGCGTGTCTTGCTCTATGTAGATCTTTTTATAATTCCTCTAGTCTAAGGGATTTATTTCTTGGTGACTTTTTTTGTTTGGTTCTTGGGAGTTTCCTGGGTGTGTCTAAAACAGGACCTACTGCATCCCCTTTTAAAAAAAGAACAGTTTCCTCTTGCTTTTCCTGAAGGCTTTAAGCAGCTTGTTCCGCTACTGAACATTCACAACAACTCCTTGAGATTTCCTCCTGTACTATTCCAGAAGTCTTCAGCTTGTTTTGTTTAATTGTGATTGCGAGGTCCTGTCCTGCAGCCGAGACTGTAGGAGAGCATTGGGACTGGCTGTGCGAGAGGACCAGGGGAGAAGCGAGGGCTCTACATAGCTGTGTGAGTCAGTCTGCCCCTGTTCAGCGGTGGAGACAACTTCTTCATTTAACCTCCGGTGGTTTTGCAGATACTTTTAAGTGTGTGTTAGTAATGCATGATTAATTGAGTGTCCTCATGTAACTTTTTGTTTGCATGAAGGCACTTTGTTACCTTACCTTACCTTACATAAATTGGCATGCCCTGGTACTCTGAGCATGAATCGAAGTGCTGGATGAAGGGAGCTAGAGCACCTGGAAGCATTCTGTGTCTGTAGTGAGACTCACCTGAAAGCCGGTGAACTCTTTCAGTATTCTGAGCATCAACCAATTTTTAAACAGTATCACTGCCTTCTAGTTCTTGCATATTTTGCTGGGTTCCTTAATGCTTCATTTTCCATCTGAACTTCTTTTCTAAAAATTGAGTTAAGGGGAGAAAACCTGGTTCACCTAAGAGCAGAAGTTACCATATACAATACTGAACATGGGCTGACAGGAAGATACAACTCTCATGTTTTATTTCTGACTTCTCTGAAAGTGACTAACACAGAAACCAAACTTACCTTAAATGTGACTTTTTGTTTCTTTCCCATTAGGCAGTTTGACAGGTTTGGGTGGTTTTTGTTTTAAAATTTCTTCCCTTTCTTTCTCTACACACACAAATGTATGCTCCTTTCTATGTGTTTGTTCATCATAAAAATAACAGGATTTCTCCATGTATTTTCCTGTGTCTTTCCACTCCATGAGAGATGTCATGGGAATTACATCATGAGGTGTGAGGATGAAGGGGTGGAAATCTGGACTCCTAACAGATTCAGGTTCCTTGTAGAATGTGTTTAGTTGGGTAGGTTGCTCATTGAAATGTTAAACACAGTTCTAAATGGTGTGAATGGGAAAAATCTTATCTAGTTGTCAGCTGTATGAAGCTGACACCTGATGGTGTTGTCAAACAGAGGAAGTTCTGAATTTCTCACAAAGGGAAAAAAAAATCCTATGCCCCCTGCTTAAAAACGCTTGATAAATCTTTGCCTCCAGAACTGTGGCTGTTATATCATATTAAAAACAAAAGAAAAAAAAATGCCATTAATATTTAACACTAAAGGATGAATCCATAGTGAAAAATGTTACTGATAGTTTCTTGGCTTAATGTGATTAATGGTCTTAGTCCTTCGAAAGCCAGGATCATCTCCGGCTTACATGCACAAACTCCTTTAATCTTGAGAGTTGACAGTGTGGTTAAAGGTGTTTGTCAAAAAAAAAAAAAAAAAAGATTATATATATGGATTTGTCTTTTTTTTTTTTTTTTAATGATCCTCCTATGAGTTTACAGTCTTATGAGACCATACTGGCTGTTTTCGGGGTGGTGTGGCAGTAGGCTATCTGCGTGATAAACGGTTTGGAAGAGATGTAGGTTGTAGTTTGGAGTACGTTTAAACTGGTGGTGTCACAGGACAAGAACGGTTCTTCTCTGTCATCTGTTTGTGCCATTCTTTACAAACAGAACTGCAAAGATGATCTGGCTGAAAATGAACTTAGTTGAAGGCAGAAAGGTATTGAAACAGATTCTTTTCTCAGTCCTGTTCATCATATAGCTACATAAAGGCTGTGCTGGGACAGCATGGAAGTGCTATCTAGATGTTGGGAGTAAGTGGCCAGAGGATGTGAACCATTTTTTTTCTGGCAGTTCAGGGTAGGCTTAAATGCAAGTCAGCTCTGTCCTTAAGCAAAGCCCAGAGAGTGGTATGGCCACACAGACCTAACCCCACCATGAGTAGGTTTCAGGTGTTTGCTTAATTGCCTTGAACTAATCAATTGTCTGGGGCAAGGGGCACAAGATTTTTAGAGCAGGAGTTCTCACATCCCGGCCTGTTCCTATGCGTGTCCCGAAGAAGGGCCTTGTTGATTATGTTCTTGGCAGGAGAACTAGCAGAATCTAGGTTGCCTCAAAGTACAGGCAGTAATAGTCTACTACATAAACCCTTCTGAAGCTGGACTTCAGTGATTAGGTTATCCTAAGTTTGTATATGCAGAGCATGTCATTTTATATATACAAAACATACAAGTATGATTTTACGTGTTCTCTTCCCATCATTGCCCCATATGGTGCCTCTCGCAGCAAAAGATTTGGAAACCATGGTCCTGCAACAACCCCTCCTCTATATGGTGGATTCCCTGGAGTACTGCTCTGTTAGTGGACTCTGACTTCTGCAGAATAGATGAAGTTTCCCTGCTCTAGAACTGCATGTAAGACAGAGTCTTGTAAGGCATGGATCAGTCTTTCTTTGCCTCTTAGAGAATGTATTGCACTTCCATAGTGTTATATAGTGAGACAGGTTAAAGGAATGATCAGAATAACTGTGACTGAATAATTATTAATAAAGTCATAATGCTTCTCAGAGGTCGTTTCTGGGGACTGAGGCTCAGGAGGTAGAAGGACTATACAAAGCTAAAATCCTTGGGTTGTAAGGCTGCATAACTATCCAAGTGATAGGAATGATGGAAGTGAATTCAGGTTTTTGCTAGATGGGTAGTAAGAGGCAGAGTGACAAACTGCATGTGGTTTGCTGAGCAGAAGTGAAAACTCTGCTTAATCCAGGGTGATGATGAGAGCTGTGAGTAGGTGAAGTTTCCTAGTAATGTTGTGTGTATCATCTAGGCCGTTACATCAGAAATTTCCCTTTACTGTTAATGGAGCGCAACAGAACTGAGTATGAGAGGTGTGAATGCAGGCTGACCAATGTGTTAGCCACTATACCACGGTACTTAAAAATTAGAGATGTTATGCTAGCTAAAATACCAGTAATTTTTTGAAGCTTCTTCCATTGCTGCTACCTTTAGTGTGGTCCTGGTGACACTATATACATACCTTTATCCTGGTGTGTAGGATGCAAGGCAGACTTGCTAGAGATGGAATATTTTTGTTGATGTTTGTGTAGTATGAAATCAATAGACTTACCTAGAAATAACCGAAAGCAATGCTTTGGCAAAAAGAAATCACCCAAATCAAGAAGGTGCCACAAAAGTAAGTGGCCACACATTTATATTCAGAGAAAGGATCACCCTTTCCAACTTGGAAATATAGCCCAGTAGATACTTAACATGAAGTTTATTTAGAGGCATTTTCTCAGAGTTGCTTTTATATCAAGAGCCAAAGTTTTAAAGGTTAAGAAAATTTGCTAGAGCTGCACAGTCAATATCCATGTTGAGATATGTGCTGCACTTTCCTCAGAGCTTCAATTTTTTATCTTTGAAGAAATAGGCCTGAGCTGCAGAATTTTGGATTGGACAGATTCTGTCCTTAATTCAAAGGCAAAACCACCAGGATTTCAGGTACACTGTTGTGATCCAGATTCTTCTGGCTCACAGGAGAGTCAGAGGTGGGTAGAGATCTGGAAACAAGTTGTGAAGCACAACCCAGTCACTCGCTCACTCCCCCTCAGCAGGATGGAGTAGAGAATCAGGAGGGCAAAAGCAAGAAAAACTCATGGGTCAAGATAAAGACAATTTATTAGGTGAAGGGTGGAAAACAAAGGGACAGGGAGAACCAAGTGGTGCAAAGGCAATCACCCATCGCTTCCCACCAGTGGACTGAGCAATGGCTACTTTGGAAGAACTCTCCCTGGCCTCATTTTTGTTGCTGAGCATGACATATAGTAGGGAATATCCCTTGGGTTAGTTGGGGTCAGCTGTCATGGCTGTGTCCCCTCCCAGCCTCTTGCCCATTCCCATCTTAGGAATGGACAGAATGAGAAAGAGAAGGTCTTGATGCTGTGCAAGCACTGTTCAGTAATAGCTAGAACATCGGTGTGTTATCAACACTGTTTTGGTCACAGATCTAAAACACAGCACCATACAGGCTGCTATGAAGAAAACTAACTCCATCCCAAGCAGACCAAGTGCATGGTAGCAGTGACCGTGGCAAGTAGTAGGAAGAATAAGACTGGGCAAGTAATCAGAAGACAAGGGGGGTGGAAGAGCCTTGGGCAGGAAGCAGGGTGGAGTGAGCTAGAGAGATCTGCGGTGTTCAGCAAATGGAAGAGATGTAAGTGGGAACAGGGCAGAGGGACTGTTAGTTCTGTTTGTTGTAAAAAAAGAAAAAAAATCTTTGGAACTAAACTTGCAAAACTTGCTGGAGATTGTTACCATCCCCTCAATTCACATGGCTTAAACTGTGAACCAGAATAACCTACCCAAACTGGTGTATGACTCTAGTACCTTTGTCCCTGTGGAGCTGGTGTTTTGGTCCTCTGTTTTCCCCATTCCTCAACTTCTTTCCCTGGAGGTATCCAGGATTGCCTAGTCCTTGTCATAGCTAAGCTTTTCTGCATCTTACTTGTACCTATGCTCTGCTGGGATCCTCTGAGTTCTTCTGTGAGCTGCATACCGAGTCTCTGATGAGCCACATGTAGGCTTCCCTGAGCTGTGTGGTGGAGTGTGCTCCTTCTTCTTCCTCTTCAGGCTGTGCCCATGTGCACCAGGGAATTATAATGCAGCTAGGTCCAAGAGGGTTTGGTCTGGTCAGGATACCAGTGAGAAGTTTTTAGTCTCTTCTTCAGCTGTGTATTTTATCTCTTTAACACAGAAAAATGTCTTGAATGTGTGGTTTCACTAGTGAGCTACTGGAGAAAAGGAAGGCAGCGTCTCCATCTCTGACAGCATTTTGGAAGTCTTTACTTCTGTCCTGGGAAGGTTTAGGGCTGTGAACCCAGAGTGGAGAGAGGCATGCACCCTCAGTGAAGTGCATAAACACGAGGGGTTGGTTTTAAGATGGATGCAGCTCAATCCTCATAATTTCCTGGTAGCTATTTTGGGAAGTCTGCCCTGGAGCGTGGGTGCGGTCACTGCGCTGGGAGCCAGGCCTGTGCTGCTGAATGGAGGGACAGTCTTACGTTCTTCCCCGGTTCCCTTGTTTCCGCTCCATCCCATGCACAGCCACCTGTGTTCCCACAGCAAGTCACATCTGGGCACTGAAATCCTTTCGGGGGGGGGGGGGTGGGGAGGACTTTGGTGTTTTTTTTGAGTGAGTGTGTGTGTCAAGTTAACTTTCAGTGGATTGTACTCTCTGCATAACTCGTTAATTGAAGGAACAGACAGACAAAAACAAAGGAGAGAGGGGAATGGGTAGGTTATCTCCATCCTTTTGGTCAGGAGCATAGTTTTAAAATGACTGGGTAACCTTTACATGGGGATGCTGCCTGTTGTTAGGCCTGTGCTGAGGAGTGTAACTGAAGGTACGGATTTTGTAGTGGGGAGTTATCCATACTTGTTGGTGGGTGTCACCCTTCGGTCCTGCCTTTGCTGATGCGTAGAGCTCTGTAGATGCGGGCAGCCCTGTATTGTCCAGGAGTAGCAACACATACCTGTGTGAACTTCCTGCAGTATGCAGGTGAAAAACTCTGCTTTTGATGTTACGTGTAAGATTTGCAGCCATTCCTGCATTAATCTGATTTTCCCTTGCAACAGCCTGCTACAACTTACTGTCATCTCTGTTCTCTCTTTCCTGAATATGGCTTTTGCCTGTGCTTTTATACCACAGACCTAAGTGCTTTCTTACTGGAGTTTGGAAAGCAGGCCGTGTTTGTGGCCAGTGGGGGAGTTAGGAGGAGTATGGGTGAATATTCTGATAGTCCTTCTGGACTGAGCATTTCTTTCAGGGTTCTCTGCAACTGGTGATTCTGAGGGTTAGGAGGGAATGTAACTCTCTGCTGCTTACAGTTCCTGGGGGAATTCACAATTTAAAAACAAACAAAAAAAGCAAGCCTAAAAAAGAGGTAGTTGGGAAGTTACAAAAAATGGAGCAAAAGTCCACTATTTAAAAAGCCCAACTCCCGAGGCAGACAGTTCCTTGCTATAAGCTAATCAGTAAGGACTTTTCCACCCAGCTTCAGCAGGTGGAATGTTAACATCTTAATGGTAATATGGAAGCCTAACTGCTGCTTATATAGACCTCATATATGCATTTAAAATAGCTACTTGAGACCAAAAAATATGATAATGATAGCATTAAAAATAAAAAAGAATTAGTTTACAGAAGTTCTCTGGAATAACTAATAAGCTTCAAGAAGTGAAGAAAATCAAATCAGGTAGACAAATATAGTAATGAAGCATTTATTGCTGATAAATGGAATATCAAATTCCACTTAGTCTGAACAGAACATGTGGATACCTTTAGTCTACTTAAAAGCTTAAAGAGTCAGAATTATTCAGGTGAATATTAAAACTTGAGTATAGCACACTTGGTTGTATGAGTGACCTGTTACACCGTGAGTGAAGGACTGTGCCTTGTCTTGAGTAGGCTGCAATCCAAGCTCTGCATTCAGAGAAATGATTCAGTTAGCATGGAGCTCCAGGTTATGTGCATTAACAGAGTGGTTGTCAAGCATGAGAAAATCTGAAATGTTTTTGTGTACTGCAAGCCAGGGTAAGATTCATGGCTTGCTGCTTGCTGCAGACCAAATCATGAGCCCATGCTGTTGTCATGGTTCAGCTGAAAATAGACTTGCTAAAGTGACATTTCCAGAGGAAGTCCCTCATAGCCCCATGATTTCAGAGCAGGCACTTTGAACCGAGTAGCAGTTTTGTGTCAGAAGTGTGCTTTTTACTAACTCTATGAATATTCATGCTGGAAAATTGCAGTTTAATTTGCTCAGCAGGAGCTTCAGTCTGGACATTTTATAACAAGATGCTGAGATGGTTTTTGCTGTTAACAATTCTTCATTTCATCTTTTTTACCAGACCACGGGCAGAAGGCCTAGTTCAAGTGAACAGAGGGAAAGTACTGAGGATAGAGTAGCTTAGGATAGGAATAAGGTCAGGACAATGATTTTCTCTGGGACCAGAACGTGGAAATTGGGTCCCTTTGTGGTACCTGTCACGATTGTGTAGACAGACTGGGTTTGGGTAATTCTTAACTGACACATGCCTTACTTCTCAACGTTGTGATGTGCTTCAAACCTAAATTTGAATGTATCTGATACAGCATTAGTGAAGCAGTGGTTTATAAAACATTCGTTAAAGTAACTTTTTTCCTTTTTGTTTTTTTCTCCTGTAGCACACATCTGCTGTGAGGACGTGTTTGGCATCTTGGGAGAAAAATTTACTTTTCCAGTAAAAATCCACCAAACAATAGTGGAAATTCTTTGGACGAAAAACAAGGATAAAGTGGCTGAATGGGAAAGGCAAGCCGGAACGACATATTTTGCTTCTTTCAAGAACAGAAGCCTGCTTAACAAGGAGAATGGGTGCTTGACTATATTTAGCTTGGAAAGCAATGATGCTGTTAGACTACATGGATTCTGTGGAAAAAAAATTAGGTCTTAACCTTCATACTTGCTGTGTTAGGTAAGTAGTGGAAGAACTGCATAAAGAATTGGCACCACTTTATTCACTTTAGGAAGGCTAGAAAGGGGATTGTTTATATGTCAGGGAAGCAAATGGAAACAGAGGGGGGCTGTTCTTTGATTCTATTGTTAAGTTGCTTAGGCACTTCAAACAGATTTTCAAAGGTAGCATCTAATTTGTGTGCCCGTCATTACTCACCTTGGAATGACTTCTAGAATGTGTGTAGATGGCACACTGTATACTTTCAGATAGATAACCAAACTGTTTGAGCAAGCTGACCAAGTTATCCCAAGCAGTGTATATCTACTAAAGATGCTCCTGCAGGCTTATTATGAGGCCTTGAATGTCTGTGGCATCATCTTGTACAGATCTATGCAGCTTCACTAGTAGTCTTTGGGAAATATATTTGACCAGTGTGTGTATTAGTCCTATTGACAATGAACCATGGAGGGGCCTCAAACTAGGCACTGAAGAACTACAAACAAGGCCACTTCTAGAAATACATTTCTTTCTCACACACACGTGTACACACACCTAATGCATACACTTTTATCTATACATTTTCCTGCTGTTTTTGTTGCTTCAGCCCTTGTCCTGTGCTAAAATTCAAGGCAGTGTATAACCAAAATAATACAGAATGTTTTCGTTCCTTTTAGCTCCTCCTTCAGAACCTGAAATAAGTTGCGACATCAGTGGTGATGACCTTGTGTTAAAATGTTCATCAGATTTCCAGAAGCCTCTGAATTATACTTGGAAGTTTGGTAGCATACCATACGCTCATCAGACCCAGGAAGTTTTCATCCATAAGGAGAATGTTGGTGCTTCTGAGAAAGCTGCATGTTTCATTAAGTTCTCTCAAGTGGAAAAGAGCACTGAAATCTCTTTGACTCAATGCTTTCCAGATAAAAGAGGTAATGAATCGGTCAGGTTGTATATGTAAGTTTGAGAGGCTAGGTTGGGGAGCAGCATGAACTTTGACTCTAAGGTTTCTACTGAGTTCTCAGGAAGTTGAATTTAAAGAGTAAAAAGCATCAGAAATCATTTGTCTGCTGAAAGTGTGTTTAAGGTTGGTAAAAAGTAGGAGGTTGACAGTTTGTTCCCCCATGAAAAGATACTTTTTGCAGGGATCTCAACAGAATAAAACCTGCAGCTGTGATTTGGAATGAGTAATAATAAAGAGGGAGATGCACTTAGAAGATCTCTTCTGAACCTTTTGGCCTTGTGTAATTAATGCTAATGACTCTTATCGTCCTTGTACTCCTTTCCACGAAATGGAATGAAACTATTCAGTTGTTTCAAGTGAGTCATCTGTCAGCCATTAGATAAAATAATTTCTCATCTAGTGTGTGCATGAGTCAATGAGCATACTTCTTTTCCTCCTTCACAGACAGATATAAGAAGGAGAAAGGAGTTTTCCTGCTGTTGCTTATTGCTTTGGGACAGCCTCAGCTGAGGTGGCTTTTTTTTTTTTTTTTTTTTTTCTTCTTTTTTAAAAACAGGATGAGAACATGTTTGGAACCATCTGGTTTGTAGGATGTGTAAGGCAGTAACTGACAGAATTTCCCACTTCTATGCAAAAGTAATTTTCATACTTTACCAGTACAGAATTCTTCCTCCTTCATTGGATTTATGTGTCAGAGACTTATTGGAAATTAGACACGTGGTAGGTTGACCTGTTTGGCTGCCTGGTGGCTGTCAAGCTGCTCTATCACTCCCCTTCCTCAACAGAACAAGGGGCAGAAAATGCAACAAAAGCCTTGAGGGTCAAGATAAGGACAGAGAGATCACTCAGCAATTACCATCATGGGCAAAACAATCTTGACTTGGGGAACATTAATTGAATTTATTGTCAGTCAGAATTAGAGAATAATGAGAAACAAGAGCAAATATAAAACACCTTCCCCCCACACCTCCCTTCTTCGCAGGCTCGCCTTCACGTCTGATTTCTCTACCTCCACCCCTTGAGCAACACAGGGGGATAAGGATTGGGGGTTGTGGTCAGTTCATTACATGTTATCTCTGCAGCTCCTTCTTCCTCACACTCTTCCCTTGCTCCAGTGTGGGGCCCCACCCCTAGGAGACAGTCCTTCATGAACTTCTCCAATGTGGTGCCTTCCCACAGGTTGCAGTTCTTCACGAACTGCTGCAGTATGAGTCCTTTCCATGTGTCCTTTCCACGGGGTGAAGTCCTTCAGCAATGGACTGCCTCAGTGTGGGTCCCCCACAGGGTCACAAGTCCTGCCAGCAAACCTGCTCTAGCGGGGGCTCCTCTCCATGGGGTCACAGGGCCTGTCAGGAGCCTGCTCCAGCACAGGTTCTCCACAGGGCCACAGCCTCTTTTGGGCATCCCCCTGCTCCATTGTGGGGTCTTCCCCGGGCTGCAGGTGGATCTGCTCCACCGTGGACCTCCATGGGCTGCAGGGGCACAGCCTGCCTCACCGTGGGTCTTCACCATGGGCTGCAGGGGAATCTCTTCTCCAGTGCCTGGAGCACCTCCTCCCCCTCCTTCGCTGACCTGGTTGTCTGCAGGGCTGTTTCTCTCACATATTCTCACTCTCCTCTCCCAGCTGCTGCTGTGCAGAGGTTTTTTACCCCTTCTTGAATATGTTAGCACAGAGGTGCTACCAGCATCACTGATGGGCTCAGATTTGGCCAGCAGCAGGTCTGTCTTGGAGCTGACTAGAACTGGCTCCATCCAGTGTGGGGGCAGCTTCTGGCATCTCCTCACCAAAGCCACTCCTGTCCCCCCGCTACTACCAGAACATTGCCATGCATACCCAATACAGGACACTTGCTGACATTTCATTTGGCTGAGATCCGGCTTGGCCTTTCATAGGCCAAAAAATGGAAGAGCCATTGCCTTTCAACCAGGTGATGTACCTTCACTGAACTAAGGTACTTAACATGTAACTTTCCTGGAGCTGGTTTAGAGTTTTGCTAATAACTGACTCTGGTGCATTAATTCCTTTAAGTTACTTTGTTTTCAAAAACAAGTATCTGTAAAGCATACTCAGGGTTGTATTTCTACTGAAGTAGTGTATCACAGTGATACACCGTTGCTTTTTAATTAACCACTCATTATTTATTTTATTTTTTTAAAGGAGACAGCTATCACAAAAGAAGCAGAGGTGGTCTTATTGTGCCGTTTGTTCTCTTAATTCCGGTTGTAGGAATATTAGGATACCTATACATATGAGGTATGTATGTAATTTCCTAACTGAGTTTATCATGCTTCAGGATTATGCTGATCTGCATAATCATGAGGTTCTGTAGAATGTATGAAAGTTTCTGATCATGAGATGTCTTGTAAATACAGTAGTAGAAACAAGTACTTCTTAGGCAAAGGCTAATAGATTTGAAGGAAATAATACAATAACCTTTCTTGCACTTGAACACTGAGCTCTGTGTACTGGGAAACACTGTAGTTTGTATTTGCATCTTTCTCCCTCAGACTGTTTCATTTACTGTGTGTTTCTACTTACCAAGTGTCTATGCCCTCTGCCATTCTTAACTGAGTGTGCTTTCACTGTGTTTTCTGAGAGCATCATGAAGCTGCCTTCAAGGTGAGATTTACTGTTGGGACAGGGCTGTTACCAGGGCCTGTTGAATACTTTATGCTGAGTCTAATCTGACAACTCAGTGTGCTCAACAGATACATAGGGACTTCTGTGCTTCCTGTCAGCCTGTATTGCCATCATCTTGAAGTTCTAGATTTGTATCTTGATCCATCCCTGCACTGAATTTGAGTACCTTTTTTCTAAATCTGACAGCTTATATGGAAATGGTAATTGTAGGCTATCGCTGTGTATCTCTTGCTGCCACCTTCTTAAGTTAATATGTCAGATTGTATTCTGGCTTGAAAAAGAGGTGCACGCCATGTTTTCTTTGTGTTTGAGAGTGTTCTGACCAAGAATACATTCCCCCATCCTAAGGGTGCTCTACATGGAAAATTCCTGTTGGCTTCCAGGTGAGGTCACTACTTGAGGGTGGCTACAGGGTGAAGGGAATGGGATGCATCTCCTCTCTGGGAAGGACTGATGATATTCTGGAGGGAGGCCCTGATCAGAGCATACATAGATGTATGTTGCATGTGGACCTTATGCTTTCTAGATTATTCTCCATTTAGTTTCTGTTGGCATGGAATCATAAAATAAACTAGGTAGGAAGGAATCTCTGGAGGTTTCATCCAACTTGCTGTGCAAAACAGGACTAACTTCAAAGCTAGAACAGGTTGCCGAGGGCCTTGTCCAGTCAAACTTTGAATAATTCTAAGGATGGAAATTCCCCAGCCTCTTTCAGCATATGATCAAGTGCTGAACTACCCTTGTGGGGAAGGATATTTTCCTTATTTCTGATAGAGATTTCCCTTTTGCAACTTGCAGCCATTGCCTCCTGTCTTTTTGTTTTGTACTTCTGAGAGGAGTTTCCTTTGTTTTCTATGTAAGTTAGTTGTAGACTGCAATTAGCCATCCCCTTAGCCTTTTTTTTCCTTCAGGCAGGACAAAACCAATTCTCTCAGCACCTCATTGAACAGCTTCTGCCCTGTCAACATTTTGGTGACATTTGCTGGACTAACCTCAGAATGTCAGTGTTTTTTCATGAATTGGGAGCCCAAAACTAGACACAGTACTCCACATGGGGTGTCACAAATACTGAATAGAGGGGAATAATAATTTCTGTCAGTGGGTTGACTACATTTATGCTAACACAACCCAGGGTCTGGTAGGCTTCTACTGCAACGGCACATTTCTGACTGTTTAACTCATCGCTCACCAGGGCTTCCAGTTCCCTTTCTGCAGATCTGCAGAGCTGTCTTCCAGCCACGCAGATCTTAGCTTGTACTGTTCCATGGGATGATTTCAAGAGGTACAGGACTTTATGTTTGCTTTTGAACATGACAGCTTTTCTGCCAGCACATTCTTCCAGATTACTGAAGTCCCTCTGAGGGGCAGCCCTGCCTTCCAGCATATCCCCAGCGCTCCCCAGCTTCATGTCACCTGCAGACTTTCTGAGGGTGCCTTCTGTGCCCTTGTCTGTATTGGTGATGTTGAACAACACTGTTTGATGTCAACACACGAAGAATATCACTCATAACTGTCCATCAGTTAGATTCAAAACAATTCAGCTACTTCACTGGAAACAGCGAAGGTTTGACCATACTAGAAAATAAACTTGTTATACCTTTGTAGCATAAGCACTGCACAGGGATAATCAACCAGAAGATTTGATTGATTCGCTGATTCAAGTACAAGACTCAGAATCATAAATTGCTAAACTCTGCTTTAGATTTGGTTAGATGTGTTCTGACTTGTTGTTTCAGTAGGCCCATGTTGTTGATCTCTCACTGATTGCCTTTGCCCCAAAACAGTATTTCAGTTGCATGTCCTCAGTGATCTTTTTTTTTTTTTTTTTTATTTGGCAGGGTGGGGGAGGTAGAATGGATGGAGCCTGTCAACTAGTTTCCAAAGGCACAAAACTTTATTTCTGAATAATTTCTCCAGTTATTTTATTTGTTTCTGGTGCAGGTAGAACTAAACTTGTAGCAGGAAGAGCTGCTCAGAAGACCAGTGCAGTGAATGGCTCAGGTAGGAGCTGGAGTGTCGCAAATGTGTGGCAATTGGACTGTTGCTGTAACTTGGTCTAGGCTTGTAAATGTTTTCTCTGTGGCAGTATAGTCTTTCATTGGAGAGGTAAAGGAGTAAGCCGTCTTTCAGGCCTTAGTTGTTTTACAGAGTGTAGATATTTTTTCTAGGTCATTACTACATACTTTCTAAATAAATACATTTTCTTATAGGAGAAGATCAGCTACTTTTCTCTGTGGACAGCCAAGAACAGCCTAACTCAGACAGAGGTAAGAAACCTGTATTGGGCTTTAAATGTTTCTAAACATCTGCTGTTGGTTGGAGCAAGAAGTCTGATCTGCTCTTTCCTCTTTTGCAGGGTCTAAGCTTTGGAGTTGATTTTCTGTGTGTGCACATGTGGCCTCAGAGTCTCAGCTGAGGTCCAATATCAGCTAATTGTAGGGACCTGCACTTAGTGGATGTATTGGTGAGGCTGGCAGAATTACTGACAGTGAATGGCCTGATACTTGCCTGGTCAGCAGCTGTCTTTGGAGGTGAATTCCACTTTTGACAATGGAGGATGGGGTCTGGCCTCAAGATGAGAGCTGGAAAAGCACATGCTATAGGGCAATCTGTCTGTTGGAGAGCTAACTATTTATTTGTTTGGTTAGGGCTGGTTTGTATGCTGAAATCAGGCTAATACTTCTGTCTCTTTTAATCTTACCTGCCTGTCCCATTTATATAAACTCCTTTCAGAAATGTGGATGGTTGTTTTTCTAAACTAAGTATTCATATCAAATCCTTAGGGCTGGGAATGAGTCTAATACATTGCTCATTCCCAATGTCCCCCATGGAAATTTCTTGCTGGCCTGTCTTGGAAATTGGGCAGCTAGCCTTTTTCTCAGTGAATTGAATTTGACTCGGAAAGCTGGTGTTTCCAGGGGGTGGGGATTGATGCTATGCATGTAGCACTAGATTAATAATGACCATTGAGGTTGATATCACATCAGACTGGCAGGAGTTTGCTGTTAGTTTACCTTGGTCATATCTCGAAAATCCATCCAAGGACTGGAGCAGACAGGCACATTGCTAATCTGGTGTGCAGAACTCTGGTCCTTGCTTTTGGTACATGACTGGTGTACGCTTCATCCTGTGTGTCAAGTTGCAATTGTCTCCTTTTCTTTAACCCCTTTCAGTTGTTTCAGGAAAAAACCTGTTAGCAGCACCTTTTGATTCACTCTTACTCCATTTTGCAGGCCTGTCCTCTCCTTTTAACAGTCAACATGAGGGAAGGAAACAGTCAGTGGAGGAAATTCTCACCTCTTTCCATAGTTACCAGTCTGCTTCCCACCCATCATTTCTTTATGTGATGCCTTCTGCAGGCAGTACAGATTCTCAGGGTTGTCTGCATTCCTGTCTTCCTCTCCAGATCTCCACTTACGTTTCTGCTGTCCACTCTAATCCTGCATTGTTTTTTGGGTTGGATTTTTTTGGGGGGGTGGGGGGAGAGGGGAGTGGGTTTCTTTCTTTAATTTGCATTGATTGCTTAGTTCTCTGGCTTCTGGGTATGTGTGTTGGAGTGTGGTCATCACTCTATATGATGAGCAGCTAGGGAAGAAGACAAATCCTTTTGTCTGTTCTCCTTTCACAAGGATGAATGAGGCTAACAAGTTCCAGCTTTCATATGTACGCATCTTTTGAACCACACTAAATCAGCCCCTAGGCAGTCAAGCAGATTATGGAGAGCAGGAGAAGACTCTTAAAAACCACTTTGTTGTGGAGGTCACCAGGCCAAATACTGTTTCAGTGGGAAATGACCAAAGCTACTGCCATCAGATACAAGCTCAGCATGCCCTGTTGGACTGTTCTGGTGGCTTCATGTGAGATACTCAGTCTGGTTTCTTATATGAGCTGCTGGAGTTAGCATAAGGCTGGAGCAGGATGTTTCTTCAAATGCAAACTACTGTGTCACCTTTGCAGAGATTTTCTGTACATTTAATTTAATTTCTTAAGGTGTTCTTTAATTTCTGAAGTTTCTTAATGTTTTTATGGGTTTGGAGGTTATAAAACGTTATGAGGCTCTTGATGATGGGTCTGGAAAAGATGCCACAAGTAGGGAGGCAGCACTATGAAAGCAGGGGTTTATAGTGGGGTTTTTTTATGTTTTTTTGTTGTTGTTGGGTTGGCTTAGGGGTTTTTTCTTCCCTTTCTACCCACTCTGCCCCAGCATATCAAAGTCTTATGAGCTTTTTATCAGGGTTTCAGATAAAGAGCTTAATTTTTCTTCTGTTTTTTTTTGTACATTCATTAAAGCTGTGTTTCTAGCCGATGGTTCAGAGATCACTAAAGTCTAGAGACTATGAATGGATTTGAAGGTAAAAAAAAGGAGAAGGATATAAAGGGAAAAAACAAAACAGAACAAAAAAACCTCCGTTTGGTACTACACTTAAATTTACTTTAGAATGATCCATGTTTCTATTAGAGATTCTTTAAGGTCTACAAGTAGAAAGGGTTTAAAGTCACAGTGTTAGTGCAACACATAGATGAAGTAAAAAAAAAAAAAAAAGAGATGTGGATTCTCTTCTCAGCTGTCTCTGGCTTTTTGTGGCAAATCTGTGCAGCCTTATCACCTTAAGTAAAACCACATCAGAAAGATTTTGTAGAACTGTAGATATAAGTATAGGTAATGTTGGTTATGGTCTAGGACCTTAAGTGGTTGCTGGAGGGGAGTTGAAATTAATTCTGAGTCCTTCAATAAAGTGTCATAAACATACTAGTTCTCAGGATTATCTGTTAAAAGTGTTATAATGAAACTGTCACTTTAAGGCTGACTTGCGTATTTTGCAAACTATTGTGCTACCTCCATACACATTTCTAAAAAAGTATTTCTGTTTGCTTGCAGCTACACCTTCACAAACTGTTGATTATGGGAATGAAAAGCCTGAAACAGGTAACAAGTGAGATGGTGCCCTAAAACATGGGAACATGAAGGGGGGGAATTAATTTTGCACATGGTCTTTTGCACTCCAAAACATAGTAGTATGTTCTCAGTCTAGAGATTACCATTCCCCTGTTGGCCTAGAAAGACCTGTTGCCTTAGAAACAGTAAATGATGATGGGTAGATGGCAAGTCAAAAAGACCTGGACCCTTGGGTTTGTTAAACATCACTGAGCAAATACCTTCTTGGGGCTTCAGCTTCCCTCTTGATATGATGAGAATGTTGCTGCATGCTGTGTTTGCAATTCACTTCACCATCTGTGGAAAGAAGAACTAAGCACATGTGAGGGAACCTCTTTTTATAGCAAATAAGTAAATTACCCTTTTGTTTAGTGTTACCTTTTATTTGCATGCAAAAGACTGCAAGGGTATTTTTATAGTATGTTACCGTGGGTAGGTGATCTTTGCTTTCTGCTGGAAAGAAACTCTCAAGCACGAGATAATAAAATGCTGTGGCTTCAAAGCTTTGGTTGTATTGATGGCAAATAAATCTGAGCCTCGGCACACTAATTTAGAGATGGGATGCTTACAAACTTGCAAAATGCTAATTTGGGAGATATGATAGGCTTCTTTCATTAGAGAGGCACCATTTCTCTACGTGGTATCTTCCACTTGCTTTATGCTCTAGGAAAGTCTTTTGTCTGCATTCATTAGGCAGCTAAGCAAAGTCCCAGTTTTGTTTTCTTAGTACAGCCAGTGTAAATTTCAAAGAAGTTCTGGGACCTGTATTTTTTTTCTAGCAGTTCTTTTTACTCCGGAAGGATAGTGAAATATGAACATTATAGTTCAAGTCAGCAAAACCGTGGGTTTTTTTTCCCAGGCTGTTGCACTGATGATTCATCCACTCACTAACTCTTCCACCATTTTCCCCAAGTAGCTGATAAGGGGGTTGGAGAAGGCAGAAGCTTTTCCTGATTAAGGCAAAAATTGCTAATGATGGCAATAAGGAAAAGGACATCCAGAAGCCCCTGGGGTTTGCTGCTTATTCTTCCTGCATGAATTGTAATAGGCATAGAACAGCTTTCCTCATCTGAAGAAACAGGGCTTGTGTAGCTGATGGTGAATCTGTGGTACACTGTGGGATTGTCTTATCACTTGTGTAACTATTTCCACATAGACATGGATATAGGAGAAGGAGGTTTATTCTTTGCCTGTCTTATGGAAGGAAGGAGGGAAACATACAGTTCAGGCAAAAGAGAATCAGATTCATAGAGTAAGATTGTCTGTTTGGACACTAGAGGATCAAAATAAAATACTTTATTTTGTTGCAGGATAGAGTGGGAACATCAGGAAGGGGAGTCAGTGCACCTTTGTGCAGTATACCCTGCAGCACCTAGGTAGCATGCAGTCACTGCTGTACGGATGGGAAGCAGTAATCAAGGCTATGATGTTCTCTGAAATGTGTGTATAAAGCAGTTTTAAATAGGGCTTCTTCTAGTAGCACAGCAGTACGTAACAGTTGCAAGGGAGAAGGTGTGCTGCTGAGCTCTGGACAGAGCTGGACACACAATGACCTGTGCTGGTGTGCGGAGTGAAGCGATGGAGTGGGCTCCTGAGGGACTGTAGCTCTCCTCTGATCTCTCTTCAGACAGAGAACTGAACGAGAACAGTGCCCTGAAAGACAAGCAGACAGTTAACAATGGTGTAAATGAGGAAGGTAGGTGCCTGTTGTATGGAGCAGTCAGTGCTAGTGACCCAGTGGGCAAACTGGCCAGGATCCCTTGGAGGTGAAAGCTCAGAGCGACTTCTGTGTAATGCTTCTTAATGGAGGTATTGGGAGGATTGTGTCATGAATGCTGAATATGTGTCCTCTGTACAGGAGTTTCGGAAACAGAGTAACCAACTTTCAGGCTGTAGTGAAGGGCAAAGTGAGTCTTGTGTTTTTACCACCCTTGGAAGTAACCCCAGCAGAGCATACAGACTTGAAGGATAAGTGTTTTGGAGATCATTTGGGTTTAAAAAAATAAATTAAAAAAAATAATCCCAGTCAGAGTGAGATGAGAATACTGGTCAAGTAACAGTCCCTTCTGAAATGCTGGCTTCTGGTCTTCTGGTTAACACTGCTTGTGGGGAGATCTTTGCAAGGGGACCTCCAGTTCCCCAGTGTGTGCACATGAAGCACATAAGTGAGGAGCAAGAGTTGATATGACCAAGAGGAAGCTTTGCCAAGAGGAAGCTTGGTTTGGAGAGATTGCTGCTTTGTGAAACGGAGTCAGGCTGTCCTTCATTGTCTCTGGTAAAAGACAGTACCCTGTGTCTGTCTGTCTTAACCTCTGTGACAGCTGCTGGAAAGGCCATGCAGCAATTCAAGCAGTCGGGAAGATTTCTGGGCAGTGTCAGGGACAGCTTCTTCACACAGGCTACCGGATGCCCCAGCGAAGGCTGACGTGCAGCTGTATCTGCTGCTCACTTACAGAGGAGGACTGGATGGGGATGTGGTCACAAACGACCGCCTTGGTTGTGGTGACCAAGAAAGAGATCCTGAGAGGCGTGGGGAAGGTAAGCATAAGGATACAGGTGTTGTGCTTTTGGAGAGCAAATTTCTGCTTATTCGGGAAGACAACAGGCAGGATCTTGTGGGAGGCAGTTCCGGAGAGCAAAGGAGCTAAAGAGAGACATCGGGCCTTTAAGGAGGCCTTTCTCTGACTGTGAGCACAGGCCATCCCCATAGGCAGGCAAACAGGCAGGCTAAGCAGGGAACTCCTGAGAGCTCCAGTGCAAAAATCCCTTACACTGGATGTGGAAGCAGGGGCAGGCTACAGTGGAGGAATTTAGGAACACTGCCCGGACAGGTAAGCATGGTGTCAGGAAAACCAAGACTCGGGGTGGACGAGAGCAGCTTCTGCTAGGTCATCTGTAAAAGATTAAAGGAGGAAGACATGGGCCTGTTACTGAACAGGGTATTGATTTAGTGATATCTGATGCTGATGAAGTACAGGCTAGATGAGCAGTGAGGTGGACTGAAAACTGGCTAAATGGCTGAGATCAGAGGGTTGTGATCACTTGTATGAATTCTAGTAGGAGGCCAGTATCTAGTGGTGTAGCCCAGGGGTCCACTCTTCTGGATCCACTCTTCTTTAGTGTCTTCATTCATGATCTTAATGACAGGGTAGAGTATGCCTTCAGCAAGTTTGGTGATGATACAAAACTGGGAGGAATGGCTCACACACCAAAGGGATATGTTGACATCCAGAGGGACCTCAACAGGCTGGAGAACCATGCTGGCTGGAACATCATCCAGTTCAACAAAAAGAAAGGGAAAATGCTGTACCTGGGAAGGAATAACCACATGCACTGGTATATCATGGGGGCCAATCAGCTGGAAAAGCAGCTTTTCAGTAAAGGACCTGGGTGTCCTGGAGGATGAGAAGATGAGCACGAGCCATCAATGTGCCCTTGCAGCAAAGGCTATGGGTATCCCAGGCTGCATTAGGAGGAATGTTGCCAGCATTGTGAGGGAGGTGATCCTTATCCTCTATTCAGCACTGGTAAGGCCACACCTGCAGTTCTGTTCTGGGATCCCCAGTACAAGGGAGATGTTGAGGTACTGGAGAGAATCCAGCAAAGGGCATAAAGATGAATAAGGGACTGGATGTGGCACTGGATAACCTGCTGTAGTTGAGCCTGCTTGAGCAGGGGCATAGGACAAGATGACTTCTAAGGTTCCCTTCCAACCTCAACCATTGTGAGATTGTGATATCTCTCATATAAGGAAAGGCTGAGAGACCTGAAACTGTTCAGCCCGGAGAAGGGGCTCAGGGGAATCTAATCAATGTGTTTAAATATCTGATGGGAGTAAATGAAGAACAGGGAGCCAGACTATCCTCAGTGGGTGCTCAGTGACAGGGCAGGAGGCAATGGACACCATCTAAAATATAAGAGGATCTGCTTGAACATCAGGAAACAATTTTTTGCTGCAAGGGTGACTGAGCACTGGAACATATTGCCCAGTGAGGCTGTGGAGTCTCCATTCTGGGAGGTATTCAAAAACCATCTGGACATGGTCCTGGGCAGCCTTCTCTCTAGGTTTGTCTGCATGAACAGGGTGTTGGACAAGATGACTTCCAGGGGCTCCTTCTAACATCAACCATTATCTGATTCTCTGATGTCAGATACAGATAAAGCTGAGATACCGAGTGCTACCCTTGCCTCTGTCTTGACAGTCTCTGTGGCATTTTTGCCTAGAGACAGATTCAGGGAGGAGAGGATCTCTGGTAATGGAAGAGGATCAGATCAGGGATTTCTGGAGAAGCCTTGGCCCAAACCAGTCCATGGGATCTGATACAAGGGTTGCTACAAGAGCTGGCAGATGCGACTGAGGATGTTCTTTATCACTTTCAGAAGTCACGTTGAAGAAGATGTGTGACAACTGGAAGAGAAAACAGTGTCATTGCCCTTACAGATGATAACAAAATGTGGAGTTCAGTCAGTCAGCGTGAGGGCAGGATTGTCCTTCAGAGGGAGCTGGAGGGGTAGAGGCCTGCATGAACCTCATGAAATTCTGCAGGGACCATACAGGGCCCTGCACCTGGATGGACCACCACCCTGCACTGTAGAGGCTGGGGACTGACTGGCAGGGGAGCTGCTCTGCTGAAAGGTACCTGGGAGTCCTTATGGACAGGACACTGTGAGTCAACAGTGCTCCCTGGCAGCAAAGAAGGCTCATAGCATCCTAGGCTGTTTTAAACAGTGGAAGTGATTATTTTCCATTACTTGGCACTTGCTCAATGGTATGTAGAGTATTACATCTAGTTTGTGGCCCACCCCGTGCTGGAAAAGTGCTGATAAATTTGAGCAAGTCCAGTAGAGTGCCACTAGCGTGGTCAGGGGCTGGAGCACAGTTCCTCTGAGGAGAGGCTGAAGAAACTGGGCTTGTTCAACCCTGGAGAAGAGCAGGCTTTCAGGTACCTAACAGCAGCTGCCAATACCTATGGGGATATCGATAAGAAGGTTGAGCCAGAATGTTTACTGAGTTGTCTTAGTGGGATGTCAGGGTGATGATCCTAAATTGAAGCCAGGGACATTCTTTGTGGATGTAAGGGAAAATATTTCTGCCTCTAAGCATAACTAATTACTAGGACAGGCTGTATGAAGTCATCATGGATTTTCTACCCTTGGAGGTTTTTAAGACCTGACTGGAGGAAGTCCTGAGCAACCTGTCTAGAACTGACTGTTGACCTTTCACTGAGGAGGGTGTTGGGTTAGAGACCTCCTGGGCTCTCTTCCTAAGTGAATCTGAATGATTCTGTGTCCCTTATGAATTGTAGCTGGTGACTCATCTCTAAGAAATGACTGATACGATTGTGAAGTTAAGCAGTGAGATACACTCCAGAGGACCATAGCTCTCCTGTGATCTCTTTTTCAGAACCTTCTGCCATGCAGAACAGCACCCTGACATCCAAGTGTGCAGCTGACCATGGTGTAACTGAGGGAGGTGAGTGCCTGTTCTGCGGTGGGGAGCTGTCCTGGTGGAAAGGTGTTGGCTTTCTGGTGTTAGCTGATGATGTTGGCAACTTGTTGCATTCTAGCTAGTGCCTCACTCTTATGCAATAGCCAGTACCTTGAAGCTGTTGCATTGCCGGGGACTGCAGTTGTCTTCTGATCTTTCTTCAGACACCTTGAAGAAGGAGAGCAGCAGCTTGCTGGTCAAGCATGCAGATGACCATGGTTTAAATGAAGGAGATAGGTGCCTGTGCTGTGGAGCGGTCTTTGTTCATTGTGACCTTTGACTAATGCTTCTTGATATAACATTATGGGTGGCACCATGGGCACTGAGTGCCTTCTGTGCTCGGCCTTTGGAGGGTCTGGAAGGGATCATGAGGACAGTGTGAAGTTGGGTATGGAGGAGGGAGGGGAGGTGTTGTATGATGGTCCCATGGGAGCAAGGGATGTTGGTCAAGGCTATTACTGATGCCGAACAAGTGGCCCAGCTATCAGTCAGATTACTCTTGATCCATCTGGGCTGGAGAGAGGGGGTGTTATGAGCTCTGGGATTGTCTAAATATTGCCTGTTGTCCCTGCAGAAGTCACCCAGGATGCAGAAGGTGGAAATGGGGAGTGCCTGAGCAACTCTCGCAGCTGCAGTCAAGAAGGTATGTGAAGGTGAAGCTCCTGGTGCCCTGGGAGAGTGTGCAGACTGGCACAGAGGCTGGGAGTGGCAGTGGTGGGCCAGGCTGATCCCTTTTTGCTCAAGTAGAAAACAGAGTGAGAATTATCTGGAGGGAAGGGGCGCGTGTGTGGTGGGCACTTGCGTATGAGAAATGTGCTAGGGAATCAGATGTTTGTGTTGAAAGTGTTCAGAAGGCTGGCCAATTTAGCCAGTTTAAAACTGTAGGATTAAATGTTACTAACATTCATTAATAATACACTTCTCGCTCATGCTTGCACTTTTACTTTATTCCATGCCTTAGTAAGTGACAAAGGCTTATAGTGGTTGAGGTGTCAGTAATGGGGTATGGTTTTGTGTCAATAGATTTCTGAACTGCAATTCTACCTTGTTAATTATGAATGCTGTTGAACATTGTATCAAGGTAGAGAGATATTGTGTAACACAGAAGGGGGTTTTCTCATTGCCTAGGTATGCAGCTGTGTTTTCTTTGGTCACAAAGAATGCAGTTTACTTAATTTGTGTCTTGTGGTTTGTTGTTTTTAAACCTGCATGGACCTGGTGGCAAAGATCTTCTAAATAAACAGACCAATGGGCTTGAGGACTGACACATGGAATGAGAAAGCTAATTATTACCCTGTATAGGAGAGTAGTCGATCAACACTTTATCTTGTGAATATTAGTGAAATTCAGGCTGCAAAGATACAACATCTCACAACAATTGTTTCGTATTCCATGAATTAGAACCTTTACTCAGTCATCAGTTCTGTACATTGCATTTACTATGGTGGTGTAACAGGCCTCCACTGACCTATCTCCAAAGCTGTTTTGCCCTCTCTGTGTGTTTTCTATGGTATGTGTGCAGATGAGAGCATCTGTGAGGTCACACAGCTGCTTCTCGGAGTACATCAACACAGAGAATATGAAAACTCAGATTAGTCCTGTCCTGAATCTGATAACAGAAGAATGTAAGGACTATCCTTTAATAAACTGTACAGGCAAGGGCTTACACTGGTCTGTCATCCATCCAGACCAGACTACTGTTTCTGTAGATTTTTTTCTAGAGTAGAGAAAGCCTATGGAATGCTAACTGGTTTCACTGTAGTTACTAATTACTTTAATGTTGATCCCCAAGAATTGTTAAAGATCATAGGTTTGGAGCTGAGATCACCGATCTTTAGTTTATAGTGAAAAGTCTGAGACTTCTAAATCTGGCAAAGAACGCAAAAAAGGTCAAGCCCTTGCCAAGAGAGTAATTACTACACTCAAAGTTTATCTTCCAAAGCACCTGGTAGTATTGCAGAAAATGCTACTGAAGATTTATCTGTAGAAAATCCAAAGTTCCTATCTGTGAAACAGGAAGGTTCCAAGTAGAATAGTTGAAGCCATAACATACTGCTGTATCTCAAAGTCTTTGGTCTTTATGACAGACAGGTGTTGGAGGTAGAAAAAGTTTCCCTAACCTAGCAGGTTCAGTGGCAGCATGGAGAAGTGAAATCACCTGCCATCAATAATTGTGAATTTCTTGATTCCCAAGGGATATAGTTGAGGCACACGACTTGCTTAGAAAGAATTTCACTGGAGTTGTATAAGATTTCCAGGAGTAATACTGTAGGTAAATATATAATAAAACTTTCTCATTGCTGGTGTGACTGCAAATCTTACACAGGTTAAGATGATACCGAGAACAGCTGCTAAACTTTGAATCTACCTAATGAGGGCAGTTACCTTATCTGGGTTTGATAGACTTGCTGGAATTTACTGTAGTTCAAGCATGCTTTACTCTGACTCTGGGGAGCTGTGTTTCCTGTGGGTGGGTGAAAATTGTAGGGTGGCTTGAGCCAATCTGGCCACTTACTATCGCTAAAAGTGGAGGTCTTGCTCTTTAGACCAGCTCTGGTGTTTGTCACCCCTCTGTGAGCCAGTTTAACTACCTCATGTAGTAGGAAACTGACCCAGCAGAAAAATCTGAGTGGTCTTCTGCTGGACTAATAGGTTAAATCTGATCATAAAGGGCTTTGATAAGCACTGGGCTGACATACTGAAGGGGATGGGATGCTGGTCAGAGGTGGGTTCAAAGGGAGAAGGAAAGGCAGGAGACAGGGAAAGCGGCTGGAGGTAGGGGAGGCTGTTGCAGTGATAGGAGGACAGGCTGTGTGAAATGTGTATTGTGTGAAGCTGTTACTTTCTCACACTGTAAAGCTTTGCTGTGCTTGGAGCATGTTGTAGAACAGCTGTAGTTTAACTGAGAATGAGCCTGGTGGTGGAGGGCATGAGCTGGTTTCCCAGAACTGAAGCCTTTGACAGTGCTGGCTGTTCTACATAGAGTGTAGTTAGTTTAAAAGTATTTGACAAATAAAACCTCTGTGAAGAAACAAAGTTTTGGAGTGATATGAGATTAGGTCAGCTATAGCAAAGAGAGTGAGGGAAGAAAGGAACATATGGAAAAAATTGTTTTGCTATTTGTAAAAGGAAAGGGGTGACCTCCTTGCAGTCTGTATCTTCCTCAAAAGGGGCAGAGGAGTGGGAGCTGCTATCTCCTCTCTCTGGTGAGCAGCAACAGGACATGAGGAAATGGAATGAAGCTGTGTCAGGGAAAGTTCAGAATGGACATTAGGAAAAGGTTCTTCACTGAGAAGGCCATTAGAACAGGTTCCCCAGGGAAGTGGTCACAGCATCAAGCCTGTCAGAGTTCAAGGAGTGTCTGGATTATGCTCTTAATCGTATGGTTTAATTTTAGGTAGTCCTGAGAGGAGCAGGGAGTTGAACTCGATGATCCTTATGGGTCCCTTCCAACTTGAGATATTCAATGATTCTATGAAAGGCTTTGTTTCCAAATTTATTAACTGAGTCACCAGAAACTTATTGTTTTGGATTTTTTAATCTGACTTAAATTTTAAAAAGAAAATTTAAAAAGCTCTTAGACAATGTGCACTATAAGCCAGTGTCTATCAAAGCATTTTTGTTTGGTAAAAAAATGAAGTTTGCAGGTTGACTGAAAGCATTTTTTTTTTCTCAAAAGAAAAAGAGAAACATTGTTTTGTATGTCACATAGCCCTTAGTTAAGTGGTGTAACTATGGGCATTTCATACTGGTTTCTTGGTTTCTGCTCTTTGTATTGTAGATGAGTGGTTTCCAAGCTTTTTCGATTGTGCACCCTGTCAGTGAAATATTTTGAACATACACACCCAATTCATGTATATTTACTTATAAATCACATACATGTGCTACCATACTCAAGTATTATGTACATTATAAAGCATGCACCAAAGTAGAAATTAAAAAAGCATGAGATAAGGATGAAGTAAACAGTATTTTAATTTTTTAATTTTATTAATAGTGCAAAAATATTTTCTTCCTGCACTGCAATGGATTGCCTTGCACACACCCCACTTTGGAGACCTCCGATGCAGATAATCCATTTAAAGATTCTCAAAATACACAGGAATGTGGAATTTAGTGGCACCTTACTGCTGAAGAATTTTCTGTTCTGCCAGGTTTGATTCTTCTGTTAAATTATTAGTCAAGCAATGACATTCAGATATTTGCTGAAGACAATGTTGAAAAGAGGGGGGGAAAAAAAACCCAAAACCTCCTAATGTGAAAAAACATGGGTAAGTGGAAGAGTGGGAGGGGGTTAGGACTGAGTTTAAGAAACCAGACTCTGTGATGCAGATGAAACTGCCAATGAAACTGTTATAAAACAAGGAAACACACTTGAAACGGGGCTGTATAGCTGGAGAGGAAGCTGTGGTATCTTGTAATGACTGAGTCAGATCCTGTTAGTTGCCAAGGAGTAATACTGAACACCAAATGAGGCAAGTCAGTGTGTTATTCCTGGCCTACATGATGTGCTGCTTTGCAAGGGCTACTTACTTGGCTAAACTGTGCTCCAACATTATGCCAAAAGGTTTAGCATCTGAAACAGGTTGTTACAGCACGTCAAGACATCGTATGTAACTGTGCTTTCTTTGGTGCTGTTTGCAAGCTGTGCGGGGACAGAACATTTTGCATGTTCTGTGGGGAGTGTGAAAGCTGATGCTTATCACCACAGCTATAAAATGGGAGGAGAACACTAATGTCATATTCAGGCCCTCTCACTGCATAGACACAAGCAAATAGCAGCCCCCCACCACCCCGGCTGGCTTCTTGATCGTGCTCTTTTGTCATCAGGCTGGCATAAGTCAGCCGTAGCTAAGGCAGTAAACCTGCTTTTATTTTAAGGAGACAAGTAGTAAAAATACTTCAGCCCTTGTGAGAACCAGACTAGGGACATCTTTTCCTCACTGTCTACAGAGATGAGTACCATGTGTCTCTATACACTGTTTTCGTAGGCTGTCTCCTGGCATCTTATCCTAGGTTGGAGTGATGCTGAGCTAGAAAGTAGTGGAAGGGAGTGGTAGTGCTATCAAAATAGGAGCGAAGACTGAATTGCCTTGGCACATCCAGTTGCTTCCTCTGCGTGCACCAAGACAGAAACACTGATGTAAGTGGGCCCTGCTCATGCTTTATTGGAAATCAGCCTGGTTAGAGGTCAATGTGTGTTGCATGCAGTGAGCTAGGTTGGGCATGTAGTCTTGAACTTGCTGGATTCTGACTTCCTGCACTGTAACACTTCCCTTTGTCTTCTGTTTCCTTGCTTGTCAAATAAGAGCTCTGTTTGCAACCCTCAAAAGAGAAAACTCCAAAAGCATCTGGCATTACTGTGTGGAAGAAATAGCAGCAGCATCACATGCATGTGTGGTACACAGCTGATACTAAGGTTGTAGGCCTGAACCTTTGCATAAAAGTGGTGTCTTAAGTTATGAGTTACGTGATCCAAAGTCATGGAGTCAGAACAGCCTCCCAGGTTTTCAGCTTCCCAGAAGGTGTCTGGCAGTAAGTGATAAATGTTCTTAACCTGTTCCAGTTGCAGAGGAATGTGTTTAACCATAAACAGATAATTTGGGTAAAACAGATAGTGGCTATCAGATGCCACAGGTCATGTAGCTGCTGTGATTGGATTGTGTTGGACCAAGTGACAATGTCTTAATTCATCTTCACACTTTATTGGTATCTAAGGCCTGCAGTATTCTTATATAACTAGTTCAATTTCTAGAAGAGAAGACATAACAACTTATCTGCATGCTTTTCTTTTTCTTTTACTTCAGACCTTAAATCATAAGCAAATAATTGCTTTGTGGACTGAACAACAATGGCAGAGAAGCAGTAGAAATCAATGGTGAAGGAGGTGCTATCTTTACTCTTCGAGGTTATCCATGAGCACTGAAGTCGACCATAAACAAGAACTTCGAAGGACAGTTGAGCTGTTTCCAGCGCCTGTTTTTATTTTCTCAGAAGGGACAGTCAACACTTCGTGTCATTGCATTAAGATAAATCATGGACAATATCTTTGGTATTATTTTGTATCCAGTTTTAACAATGTTCTACTAACAGAAAATGTAAGACCTAAGGCCTTTTTTATAATTGATATTTAGAGATTAACAAAGTCATATCCATTTGCATGAATGTGGATAAGTTGAAAACTAATCAGCTTTCCGTGCAGTTTTGGATCAGTACCTTTTTACAGTCAGAAGAGAGTTCATCCTTTAGCAGTTCCAGATGGATGGAAGTTTGCGTTTGCTAGTCTCAGTGCTCCAGAGAAATATTCTCCAAGATAGCTATCTCCCAGAGTTGACAGAAGACTGGCAAACCGATCATCTCCTCATGGTGGTGGACTTTGTGATAAAGCTACAGTTCAGTTTGTTGTTGCATTGTAACAAAGCTGTTTCAATTAGCAGTAGTTTGGGTTTTTTTCCTAGAACTGTTGATATTTTTTTCACTTTTAGGGTTTTTTTTTTTATGTCATAGCTTCTGCTTCACATTATTCTAAGAAAATGTCAACCTACCTATTTCTAAAGAATAATAATGTGTTTTTAGGTTGATTGTGATGGGAAAGAAAATTTGAAAACTGAGGTCATACATATACTGAAGCTCAAAAAGAATCATAGAGAAAATAATACCACGTATTAATGTTTTCAGAACATCAAGCTATGGAGCGTGTTTTGTGACTTCTGCATGCTGGTTATTTAGGAAAGCTGAAAACCATTTCAGCTGATTTTGAAGTTGGTATGTAGAAAGAATCATGAAGATTTGACAATGATAACCAGAGATCAGAAACTCCCCTTTCATCTTCCCTCTTGCTTCAACTTCTGCCCCTTATCTCTTGTTCCCCCAGCAGGCACTACTGTGAGGAACATGTCTCCACCTTCTTGATGATCAGCTTGTAGGTACGGGAAGGCTGTTGCTAGATACCCTCCCAAAGCCTCCTCTTCTTCAGGCTTGAACAGGTGCCTTCAGTTTCTCCTCACAGTACAAGTGCTCTGACTATCTTGGTAGATCTCCACTGAGTTTGCTCCAATTCTATTGATGTCTGTCTTCTTCAAGGTGTCCAAAACTGGATGCAGTATTCTAAATGCAGTCTAATGTGTGCTGAATAGAGGGGGATAATCACTACCCTCAATCTACTGGCTAAACTGTTAATACAGCCCAGGATGTTGTTGGCTGCCTTTGCTGCCAGGGGACACTGCTGGCTCATGTTTGACTTGCTGCTTCCTGAGATCCCCCTGCTTCTTTTCAGCAGAACTGCTCCCCTGCCAGCCAGACCCTTGCTTGTGTCATTGCAAGTGGTTCCTCTTTCCCAGAGCTTTATATTTGTCCTTTTTAAAATTGTAACCTGTCTAGGTGTCTCTGAAAGCCCAGCCCTCTAGCACGTGGATTGATTTTCCCCAATTTGCTGTCATCTGCAAACTTGACAAGACTGCACTTTATCCCTTCCTCCAGACATGAATGGAGATATTAAATGGGGCCAGTTCCTTCACAGGTCCTTGTAGTACTTGTCATGGTTTAGGCCTGGTTGGCAGCCAACCACAATGCAGCACCTCTCTCTCCCTTCCCCTCCAGCAATGAGAAGGGACAGAGAGCCAGGCTTGGGGTTCAAGATAGGACTGGGATGGGGGAAAATCCCCCTTTTATGATCATGAGCAAAAGGCAGACTCGTTAGGGGAAGAAAAAAAGAACATACATTTATTACAGACACTAACAACACATAACAGAGTAGGAGAGTGAGAAGCATTGCCACATCTTGAGAACACCTTCCCCCCACCCCTCCCTTCTTCCCGGGCTCAGCTCTGCTCCCCATATCTCTACCTCCTCCCCCAGTGGCGCAGGGGCAGGGAATGGGGGCTGCAGTCAGTGCTGCCACTTTCTTCATCTTCGGTGAGGGGAGTGTCCGGAACTTGTTCCTCCTGCTCCATCGTGGTCCCCCTCTCACAGCAGACAGTCCTCCACAAACTTTCTCCGACATGAATTCCTCCCACGGGCCGCAGCGTTCCCCACACTGCTCCATCATGGGTCACTAACTTCCTCTGACTGGATTCCCTCCCACGGCTGCAGCCCTTCCCGAGCTGCTCCGGCGTGGGACTCCCCCGCATGCTGCAATTCTCCCAGCACTGAATTACAGCAGTGGGGCTGCCTTTTCCCATGAGACCCCGGCCTTCTTCGGGCACAGCACCTTGATTATGCCGAGCAGAAGCCACAGGCCACAAATCAATGTCTGCTCCACTGTAGATCTCCATGTGTGGCAGGGGGGGGCCGCCCTGCCGTCTCCCCACAGGGTACAGGGGGGTCTCTGCTCTGGCACACCTCCCCCCTCCTTTCTTCCTCCGTTCCTCCACTGACCTTGGTGTTCAGGCAGCTGCAGCAACTCCTCCTCACAAGTCCCACTGCCCGTCACCACGTCCCTTCTTAAATACGTTATCGCAGAGGCGCAGCCGATTGGCTCAATTTCCCAAACAGAAATGGAGCTGACGTGGAGCTGGGGGAGCTTCGAGAAGCTTCTCACAGGGGGCTGCCCCGATAGCCCCCTCCCCTGCCACCAAAAAACTCCACCACTCATTCAACCCAGGACAGTACTCCACTTGTTTCAGCCGTCCGGATAGAGTATGACCTGTTAGCCACTACCATCTAGGCCAAATCATCCCAACAGGTCTTTACCTATCTGTAGAATCATAGAATGGTTTGGGTTGAATGGGACCTTTAAAGATGGTGTAGTCTAATCCCCCCTGCAAGGACACCTTTCACTAGATCAGGTTGCTCAAAGCCTTGTCTAGCCTGACCTTGAAACCTCCCAATGATGGGGCATCCACAGCTTTTCTGGGCAACCTGTTCCAGTGTCTCACTACCCTCATAATAGAAAATACCATTCTTATGTCCAACATAAATCTACCCTCTTTCAGTTTAAAACTGTTGCACCTTGTCCTGTCACTACAGGCCTTGGTAAAAAGTCTTTCTCTGTCTTTCTTCTAAGCCCCGTTTATGTATTGAAAGGCCGCAGTAAGGTCTTGTGAAGCCTTTTCTCCAGGATGAACAACCCCAACTCTCTTAGCCTTTCTTTGTAGGAGAGGTGTTTTGTTGCTTTTTAGAAATGGATGCACCTTTTCTAGTTTTTCTAGTCTAGTTGGAAACTTCTTCAATCTCCATCACCCTTTAAGGGTGATAGCACTCACAGTGGCATCAGCCAGCTCTCGTAGCACCTTTGAATACATCTGGTCAAGCCCCAGGGTCTGGTGTGGATCAAATTTACTCAAGTAATCCTTCTGGTAGTTTTTCTTGAGTTCTTTGACTAAGCGTAGAGCTCGTGAGACCTTGTTAATGAAGACAGAGGCAAAGAACACATCAAGTAACTAAGCCTTCTCTGTCTGATATCCACAAACCACCTCCCCCTGCCCCCCCCCCCCCCCCCCCATTCAGGAATGAGCCCATATTTTCCTTCTTTCAGCTCTTGTTGCACTCGATGTCCTTTGCAAGTCTAAATATAGCTGAGTCTTGGCTTACCTGTCCGGGCAGTGTTCCTAAATTCCTCCACTGTAGCCTGCCCCTGCTTCCACATCCAGTGTAAGGGATTTTTGCACTGGAGCTCTCAGGAGTTCCCTGCTTAGCCTGCCTGTTTGCCTGCCTATGGGGATGGCCTGTGCTCATAGTCAGAGAAAGGCCTCCTTAAAGGCCCGATGTCTCTCTTGAGCTCCTTTGCTCTCCGGAACTGCCTCCCACAAGATCCTGCCTGTTGTCTTCCCGAATAAGCAGAAATTTGCTCTCCAAAAGCACAACACCTGTATCCTTATGCTTACCTTCCCCATGCCCCTCAGGATCTGTTTCTTGGTCACCACAACCAAGGCGGTCGTTTGTGACCACATCCCCATCCAGTCCTCCTCTGTAAGTGAGCAGCAGATACAGCTGCACGTCAGCCTTCGCTGGGGCATCCGGTAGCCTGTGTGAAGAAGCTGTCCCTGACACTGCCCAGAAATCTTCCCGACTGCTTGAATTGCTGCATGGCCTTTCCAGCAGCTGTCAGAAGTTCCCTCATATGTATCAGTCTGTGAGTCAGAGATTTCCTCAAGCTGTTTAGAGGAGCCCTTACCTCCTTCCTTACCCTGATCTGTTGGCCTGGAACGTCCTCCAACCATGTTGTCATCACTACTGTCCTTTTCCTGGGATCGTGACCCACAAGCTCTCAGCCTGCCTGTCACCTGCTCTGTATCAGAGCTCCATACATTCAAACCACTCTTTCACAGACAGGGCAGCCTCTCTCCTTCTTCTCCCTCCATGACTTTTCTGGTTTTTCTGTAGAGCTCCTACACATCTACTGCAGAGCTCCAGTCATGCAAGCTGGCTTACCATGTCTCAGTTATTCCAACAATATTGTAGTTCCATGAATTCATGGAGAACTGTAATTCTTCCTGCTTGCTTTCCATGTTGCATGCATTTGTGCGTGTACCTTCATGTCTCCTTGTGCCAATTTTTTTTTTTTTTTTTTGCTCTGAGGTCTATTTTGTTCCTGTCACCCCGTACCCTTTATTTTGGACCCCTATCCACTACTAGATAACTGTGGGTTGTGATCTCTCTTCCCATCATTCCTACTTCAGAGCTTTCCTTGTAAGGTTGACCAGCTTGACAAAGATTTTTACATCAGACAGCTCCATAGGACATTTAAGCTCCTCCTGTGTGTTTTTTTTTTCTAGTAGTGTAAACCTATAGTAAAATTACTAACAGTTTGAGAAGGATCACAGGTAACTCATGCCCACACGCTGTCGAGTTGTAGGAAGTACAGACCCTACAGAAAACTTGAGATCTTTCCTTATTGCTACGCATACCATTTAAATGTTTACTTCCACGCACACAATTTCTTCTGCTCTTTGCAGAGTGTTCAACAGGATCTTTTGTTAGAGCTAGACCACCTTACCTCTATTGCTGTCTGTAAATATTTGCTCATAATTTATTTAAAAAACTTGTTAAGATATCTTTGCCATATTTTATTTTAATATATACCTATGCTTTTTATTTAACCTTGAAAGTCAGTAACTGGTCCCCAAAATAATCTTCAACCCAAAGTGATTTATTTTATACATACATATTTTTTTAAGTCACAGCTCCTGAGCCAAGTGTCCTTCTCCATTGCACCTTCAATGGCTTTATCAAGATGATGCTGTCTACTTCTCAGTAACTTTTTAACAAGTTTCCACACAAAGATGTCCATCGTCATGTGTATTGTGGTAAGAGTAAACCTGTAGCTTGTTTTTCTGCTTGGATGAAGGCTTGCTTTCTGATCTTAATGTGAGAAATAATGGTCAAAAAAAGTGATTGTTTGAATGAACTGGAATTCCTTGACGCATGATATCACTGACTTTATTTCCAAAGCCAAAAGCAACAGTCTTCAAAAATATCAAGCAGTTGTGTTAACCACAGTTGCTGGAAGTCTTCAGCATAATTCATGCAATTTTGGAGTTTTATCAGAAGTAGAAAACCCCACTTACATGGCAGGCTGATGCAAGACCGAGAACTACAAGAATAAACATTTTTTTTTCTGTGAAAAATTTGTGTCTAGTCTTATTTTGCAGCAAATGCAAAAATAGGCGGTTTTCAATAGCAGAGAGTAGAAGGTCACTCAAGATGCAAACAGTTACTTCTGGCTCATGTGCGACTTGAG